TTTTTTCTTGGTGTCATTGGCTGATTACTGAAAGACAAAAGGTGTCTCAAGAAAAAAGTATAATTTGTTGTAAAAATGTGTGAAAGGCACATTGATTGAGATGTGGAATTTGTATCGTTGCAAGTTAGTTCCATGAAGAGCTGCATGGAATGTTAGTTAATGTGGTAGGAATGTATAATTATGGTGATAAGACCTAATTACGTTAATTATGTCTTTTGGGGGGGCATTTTTATGATGCATAAAGCAAGATAATTGATGATACAGCTAGCAGCAAGGATTCATTGTAACCATAATTTACAGGTGTGTTTATCACTAAATTATGCTCAAAAGAACTGCTTCAAAATGTTGCATAATGTCTCATAAAACTCCTATAAAAAATAATTGGAAGGTAATAGAGCATGGAAACACAATGTCCAAGTCCTCTACTATTCTAAGTTCAGAGAGTTCTCATGATAAATGTTTGCATACAAGCAACACCTGCTACATAGCAGTAAATTGTGTGCATTTTGAACGAAGCACAGCCTGAATTTTGAGTTTCCTGTCTTTTAAATACCTGTACAAATTGCATTTATAAGTTAACCCTACAGTTCATTTCTGTTGATCAGCTTTGGTATGTGCAATTGACTGAGGCAACATAAATAACCGTGTGTTTGTATCATGCAAGCAAACAGCTATTTGTGCAAGTGGTTTGGACAGATCCATAACCAGCTCTCCTAGAGCCTAGGCAAAATCAGCAGCTCTGACCTAGGTATAAGAACTCTTTGCTTTGGGAGGGTTTATTGCCCGTTTCTTAGTTTATTTGTTGGGGTTTTTTTCTTTTTCTTAAAGATGATCTTAAAATACATTAGATTTGGTTCCTTTAGAATGGTCCATGTTTGTCACTTCTATAGTAGCGGGACTGAAAGAGCTTGGAGCACTTTGCTGTTAAATAGCAATCTGACCAGACTGCCGCTGAGGTCAACTGCATGGGAGCACAAGGGCCTTTCCATCACGTATGTGCTCTGGTTTGGTGGGATGTGAAGCTGTAGCAAGCACCAGAAGAATTCTGACTCTGAATACGTGTAAGAGGTAGTATGAATAGCCCTACTACTTGTTCCCAAATCTTTTGTCAAGGACATTTCATATTTACAGGGAAAGCAGACATGGTTCAGTGAAAGCTAAGCCTGCTTGGGGCTGCCGATTCATGAAAAGTAGCTGGGGATAAGACTATTGGAAGCTAGACCAGACCCCAAAACTGCTCAAAACTCTGGGACAAAAGCCTTTCAGATCGCAATCACAAGAGTTTGCTTATAACCTTCTTTATCTTTATTCCTCTTCCACCGAGCTTTCCATTTGCCATTTTCTGTGAGGCGAAGCTGAACCTGTGCTGTAGAGTCTAAGATGTTTGTTTATCGAGGCTGCTGGTTATATCAGGAGAAACAAGTCTTCTGACTGACAGTCTTTTCTTAACGGCCAAATATCTAAACTAATACACAGGAGGAATGTTTTTCACTCAGAGTATCTTTCACTGGTGTAGTTTCAGAAGTAGCTCAGCTATAGCTCTTCAAAGTATTTCATGGGCTTTTAATATATTCTGCCCTTAAAGTCAGCTGGACTCAAATGTACTTGCACTGCAGTTAGGGAATTTACAGCATTTTGTTGCTCATGAAAATTTTGCTAAGGTGTCAGTGGGAGGAGAAGCAGACCCGTTTCACGGACACACAACTGACACTGACATCTTGATAATGTGTGACTTTTAATAGTGAACTCTATAGGAGTGCATGCTTTTCCAAGATATGGTCTGATATTTCATAAATCATGTTTTGAAAAATGCAGTAGCTGTTCTGTACTCATTTCTTCCACTTTACAAAATATTTCAGCCACTTAATTCTCCACGGGGACTTCCACTGAGGAAAAAGCATAAAATATATTGGTTAGTCATGAGTACTTTCACTTACCCCCACAGTCCATGCTACCTCTATTCAGCTCATATGCAGCGCTCTGGAGTTCAAGGTGCTAGCAAAGAATTGCTTTGTACAATTTGTTTGTTTGTTTGTTTAATTATTTAGATGAAATGGCTATTTTATGTATTTCAATGATGCTACATGGAACAGAATTATTTCCCTGAGCTTTTTTGAAGTGATCAGAAGTCCTGCTATTTCAAAGCACCCTTTAGGCACTTAAAGTGGGATCCTCCTCATCAAGCTTCAGATGCCTTGAAGTTGTGTCCCCTCTCAGGAAAGCCTGTGGGCTCCTCATGTAGACAGTGGTTCACTCCAGCTGAAAATAATAAGGATCGAGGCTGGGTTGAGTAAGTAGGTATCTGGACAAACCCACTTGTCTCCACTGACTGTAGAGGGAGCCAAGAAAATTTGCTAAGCCTGGCTTTGCAGGCTGGCAACTCCAGCTAGGTGGGAGAAATCATACTTCAACCAGATGGAGGTTTTAGATGTTTAATGTTGACTTGAGTATTCTGAAATTTTGTACGTGGATTTGGTATCAGTGGCAAAGCTATAGCCATGGCACGAACAACTAGACTGAGGGCCAGCCTCACAAATTAGAAGTTGGTCACACACAAGAATTTTCCCCCTTACCATTTTAAGTTTCCTTTCCAATCCTCTTTTATAGGATTCTTAAAATATAGTCAAGTATCTCTGCTTAAAAGACATCATAGATACTCTCCCACCCCAAGAAGAGAGAGAATGGAGGAGTGCTATTGCCACAGAGGGTTTCCATTAGTGAAATTAATTCCTCTCTCATAAGACTTTAGGCCTATGATTTATGATAACCACCAATTTCTCACTGCAGGCAGAGTGAGAGGAAATGACTCAGCCTGGACAGACATCATGAATCTAATTTTTTTCCCCCTAATGCTTGACATAATCTAGTGTGCTGCTCCCAGAGGTGTCATTGGAGATTCATATCCAGCCGAAGGGCCTCACAATCAAGGCAGAAAATGTTACTTTCATGTATTGTGTGATCTGTAATTGTTTGGAATTGCATCCTGCCTCATTCATTGCCATTTCTTTTGCATCAATTTTGCAGCAAAAGAGTGAGGAAGACAAAGCAAGGGAAAGAAAGGCAATGTCGCACTTGCTCCTTCAGAAAAATCTTCTGTGACATAATGATAGGGTCCAGCTGGTGCTTATTAAACTCAGGCAGTTTTGAGATGAAAAATGCTTCCTTCTGTCACTTTTTCTCACTATCCACCTGATTGGAGAAGTCTTATCTATTCCATATTGATTCTGGAACTTTATGTTTTATTTTCTATCACCGATACAGAATTTTGTGAGTGGGCTTCTGCCAAAAGATCAGAACAGATTTCATGTTAAATGGTTCAGCTAAAATGTTTTATCCCACATTTCAAGGGACTAGGAGTATATATTCATGTCTCAGCAGAGGAGGTAGTATCTAGCTGAGAGGAAGGTAGGTTTTCAAAAGTCTTGCAGTTATAAATAGTCATTTGAATACATCCTAACAAATTGCTTCCAAAACTGAGAAGAATAATAGATATTTTTCTTAAATATAAAGGAATTTCTACGTATTTCTCTGGTACGACCTCATTTAACATACAAGGAAGCAGAAGCAAAACAAATACCAAGATAGGGCTAAGCAAGAATCCCCAGCACTTTTTCTTTTTTCTTTTTTTTTTTAATATTGACCAAATGTAAATCTTCTTTTCACACAGTTGCCGTGTGTATGAATGCCTGCTGATCTGTAGCAGCACATACACATGAAAATGGTCTGTTTGCCTCAAGATGACCTCTAAAAATGCCTAAGTAAATAGCTGTTATTTTCAGAAATGCTGAGCTTGCGCAGCTTCCTTTAAGTCACCTACGGCTTATTACGGCTGGTTTGATCCCATTAAAAAAAAGCATAAAGCATGAAGGGGGGAGTAGTTCCGTCTGTCAGTACCGTTCTGTGCCGTCTGTATGCACTTTCAGGCAAAAGCCAGGAAAGATGTAATATTGGGTTTTGATGATGTTTAAAAAAGGCAAGACAATCTTAGTAAGGTCAACAGAATACATCTCTTCATGATTATTTGCCAATAATCTGTAATCTCAAGTTTTAACTGATGTTCTATTTAGCTTGTCTGTTACACTCAATATGAAACTTTCATTGCCATCCTCACTAGACCATTTTAAAGCTGCATTTTTATTCTCCATTTCTGCTCCTGACTATAATTGTTTTAATGATGCTTACTGACAGCTGATACTTTCTGGCAAGCTTTCACCGAGCTTGTACGGTAAAAGTCAAATTACAGTGCTGTATGCACACACTTACTAAGTTAATTTTTTTTTTTAAGTATTCCGTGGTAAATTTCTAGATTGCAGCTGCCAGTCTGCAAATTGTTCAATCTCTCTGAAGCACAGTTGGAGAAATTGCATCATTTGGGGTATATAAAATATACTTTTGAATGTGTTCTTAGGCAATAAACTAGCAAAGCACAGAAGCACATAACTTCAAGACTCTATTGAACAAAACTTAACTCTTCTTTGGAGCCTTGAGATTCTACTAAAACATACTCAAGGGATTAAAATAAATATGCAGTTGAGGTATCTTTTCATACAACCTGGATCCATAAAAGCAGGGCTATACATGACAGAAGGGGACATATCATGCTATTGAAGAAGTTCAGTTCTTCATTTTCTCCAAGATTGAGTTTTTCTAACAAACTGCCAGTAAATTCCTCTCTCTAATGTTTGGACATCTTTGTGAAAGCCTCGTATGTGTAAGTAAACGGTACTTCGGTGAGAGGTCCCATTAAGGGGGTGGAAGGGATTGTCCTACCTATGGTTTGACCTCAGGATCATGTGGCTATTGTCTGGTGGTAAGTCCTACCCCTTGCTACTCTGTATTTTCTGCTATTATAAAATAGTTTGCATTTCTCTGAAGAGAATCAATTACTTGTTTAACATCTCCTCTCTAGTTCCTCAGGTCTGACTACAAGCAATCAAAAATTCTGTAAATCCTATTCATCCCGCTGCTCCATCCTAAGCGATACACACGCTATTCCACCGGTTTTATCACAAAACAGAGGATTCATCAGGCAGAACTGTGATTCCAGGCTACCTTCCCCAGTAAGTGTTTGGGTTACCAGTCTGATTACAAGTTTATAGAAGAGAGACGCTGACAAAGAGTAACTAAGGCTGAAATCTCTTCCTCAGCTTTGAAGCTGATTATGTTTTGCCTCCCTTTAACTTCCAAAAAGCTAGATCAGATGATTATAAATAAGATTATATCATGTGGTGTCAGCAGTGGCAAGTGAAGCCTTTGAGCACTATGCACAGAACTGGATGCAATGGGTAACTATATAATAAATCCTGAAGAGGCTGTGTACATTTGCTATAAAATGTCATAACCAGGAGTGCTATGAAAGATAACAGTACAGGTATTCTGTGAGAATATGTCTCTCCGATATTTGAGCCAATTCGTAGAAGTAAACCAGAAGGGACTGTGGTAAACTACACCTAAACTGTGAATCCTCACAGTGTTTACCAGCTTCTGGATGTGTGTATAGCTCAGCTCTAACTGGAGGGGATGAGTCGGAGGTGCATGCTCCATCTCTCCTTCCTCCTCAACTCCACCATCGTGGTTTCCAGTGAAAGAAATGCTGGAATTTCGAGCAAATAACCAAGCTGCATTGCACTGAGCGGTTCCCCCACTGTAGGCAATGATGGTGCTGTGTCTGTTGGGCATGATACAAATCATACCTACTCCACACGCTACAGGCAGAGTTAGAGACTTTGTTCCTTGCTCCCTCCCGGGAGATTGATGCCCTGGAAATTATAGAACATGTTTTAGTGGAAAAACAAAATGGGCAGAAACCTCATATTCTCAACCACAGCGGCAGATTTTCTGTATTTAGATTTAGTGCCTCGATTGCATTCAAGATATATTGTACGTAAGCTTGTCCAGAAATGTGTTTGCATGCATATGCATACACAAATGCATGCCATTATGTCCTCACTTTCGTACATCATTTTGCTGTTCACCAGATGGTATTAAGGCAGACGTCATTGTAAACATGTATGAATATTATTTCTACTGTAATAAGGCCAGAAATCTGAGAACACAATGCCAGAAACTGAAAAACCTTAACTGATTCTTTTATATCTTTATTTTGCTTTTTTTAAGCGTCCTTCTGATTCCTTCAAGTATCTCGGCTGGTGTGACATAGAAGAACATGATGTTCAAGGAAATCAGCTTCATTGTCCCCGAGTGAGAGAAGGTAAAGATCAAAAAGACATATTCACGTTTAAGTCTTAACTCTATTTACTCAAACAGTATGTCCTTAAATGTTATGAGCTTAAATCATGGAATTTGCCATTGTTTTGAAAAGGGGCAGGATTTCATCCCATATTGTACCTGTTTACTTTTTTTAATCACTAGGAAAATACCCTTTGTAATTTTGAAAATGGGAAACAAAAGCCAGAACTGTAATTTGAAAATTTTTAGTGTTAATGTGGTGTTGATTACTTCTCTCAAAAGTTCAATAATATTTAAATATTGTTCAGAATGCGATATCAATATGCCATACAAAAAGACGAGAGTGAAATCCAGTCCTTCATACAGTGGCATATGTATTTTATTTTAATACTGAATTGGCCCAATTACAATCTATAGACACACTCAAGAATGAGAAATGAAAGGTGGATTTTAAAAGTGTTTGCATGGTTGGGACTAAACAGTGGAAAAATTCCATGCTGTCTTTACTTTAGTTAGGAATTTGAAGATGTGCATAGCTTTAAGGATTTCAGTAGCTTTTTCTCAAGCTTTAAGTCTTGAGCTTGTGTTGTTCTTGATACAAATGAGGTTTTGAGTATGGCTATTGATCCCAGCTGCAGTTGTTGTCAGTGGACTGGAAGTTACAAACATATCCCTTGCTCAGGACAATTAAAGGATAAGTACATAACCGCTATATAAACTCATAGCATGTGAAAGAATATATAGGAACAGTATTTTAGAATTCAGATCCTTATGCTCAACTATTTAGAAAAAACTTTTATTCTGAGCTGTAGAAGAAATGTCATTTACTAACCATGTACCAATCATCATGACCTTAGATTGCTTGCTGAATTATGAGCCCAGAAATGGTAGAAAAACCTTCACGTTAATTTGCATCTTAGAAGCCTGGAAACCTATGCACCTGTAATATTATATATATTTCTTCATTTCAGATATCTTCCCAGCCATATACATAATGTTTCAGCAAGTAACTAAGTGCCAGTTCCATATCACATCCACTATTGTAAATCTTTTTTTCTGACCAGGACCCTCAGAAGAAGTGCTATTTTTCAGAGGAGAAGAACATACTTTGAAAAAGAGAAAACAAGTAACTGACCCAGAGAAGTGGCAAAAGAAACTGCGAGAGAACTGGGAAAACTGTGCTGTAAAACTTTCTCATTAACTCTTTGTGCTGTAGTAGTAAATAAGCCAAATAATAATGTGCCAACTGCTCCTTGCAGTTAGCAGTTTTAAAGCTCAGGTTGGCATCATGACGTTGTAAACCAGAAGGTTTTTACAAGCTGAAAGAAACACTGGAATATATTGTAATTTGGGTTCTGACCCTGTGCAAAGAGTAAACTCCTGTGTTGTTGCAGGGCTTCATTGGTGGTTGGGCATATAAGAACTAGTGATGTTCTTTGCCTGCTTAGTGCCTGATGGTAAATGAATGGTTAGAGAATGGAGTAGTTTGATTTCAGCTCTTTCACTCTCTCCTCATACCGGCCTGAGCAGTTCTTTTGGCGGGAGGTACTACATTACTGATGGTTCTGATCAGCAGTAAGTTATAACCTCCCTAAGATCAGGTAGTAACTTCACGTAACGCTGAGATCCAGTGCTCTGGATCATGCCTCTCCCTATGCATGGGAATATTGGTATCTGGCTACGGCAAGCACTTTTTTTCCAGGTGAATTTAGAGGCCAAACCAACAAGCCACAATCACTTAGTCCTGCTTTCTCCACCCAGAGCACACACACAGGCATGCCCGCTCAAGAGGAAGGAGGGGCTGGGCAGCAAGATTCACATGCTTAAGAGATGGTTTCTTTCTTCTTTACTTTCAAGGAATTATGCAGTGCATCACTATGATTCTAAGGTGAATTTGGCAACTGGCACCACAAATTGGTATAAGCATAATAAAACAGATTCACCCTTTAACTAATTCTGACGTTGAAAAGATTTAATGATACAGTAATTAGAAAGCAAGAAAAAAAATGTAAGTGATTCCTCTTATTTTTCCCTTCCCAGGAGTTGAACCTTTCATTTCAGGACCTAGGTGATCCTTACCAGGTGGAAAACTTCAAAAGGATTCTCCAAAGATTAATTCGGGTGGAAAAACTTTGGTTGGTGGACAATTCTTTGACAGAGCTAAGTGCCATAAGGTTGCCAAGGTAGACAAAATGTCCTGTTTCTATTTTTATGCAATATCATAGAAGTCAAAACTATTATTTACCTAAGTAATAGCTGGAGCAGACTCTTGAGAACTGCCAAAAAATTATATTTTGGGGGGTATTATATTGAGAATCCATCAGTATATTGCTATTCTGAGTTCATGTCATTCCCAAGTTGAAAATACTCAGTAAGGAGGTCAGGTGAGGTCTCCTCTATTCCTGGTGGATAATTCATGAATCTCATCAAGTTCAGTGATGTTTTTGCTAAAAGGGAAAGTTGTTGAAAACTGAAGGAATGTATATGAAGAAATAGTAGAATATAACCCAAGCAGAGAGGCCAGGTGTGACCATGACAACTATATTTTTACAATCCATCTATTGCTACTATGTTGTCATATGTCTAGGTATATGGAAAGTTGTAATATTGAGAACAACAATAATGACGTATCCATTGTACAATATAAAGAAAGCTGAGAGCATAAAGTGTAGGGCTCTTGCAGTCCATGGGTAGGCAAAAATAACACAAATGTAAAAGTAGTGTGAAAGCAGGTCTCGAGGAATCAAAATCTTGTATCTCTCATTGGAAGCCCTAAGTTGCCATGACTTCGACTATGTGAAGAGCCGTCCCTGTGTTGGCTTACACGTATATAATATTACAGATGTGATCAGTGATGTCATATGCTTTATATTTTACAGATGCAGAGAACTAAATGTCCACAAAACCCACTTTACATCCTTCAAACAGCTGCCAAAGATACCTCAGATTCAGCACTTAATCACTTGCTGAAAATAACATTATGACACTAAGTGGAATATCGGACTTCAGACATACTCCACTTGAATCCCTTATACTCAAGAGGAATCCCTGTGAATTTCAAGAAGGATACAGACAACTGTAAGTCTTACCATCTCATAGCCAACAATTGTTGAACAATACAAAGAAATGATTGTGAGTGTGTTCAAAAGGAATAGGATCTCAAATACAAGCAGCTCTCACGAGCAATCTTTTTATTTTCCCATAGTCTCAATTATCATAAATGCTCCAGGAACATGGGCTGGTGAGCCAATACCTGAGAATAGCCACAGAATATTCAGAAACTGCCTTGGAGGCTTTGTAATCACATGACTGGCAGTTCTTGGACTGAACTAAGTCCATGGATCAAGTTTAGAGACAGTGACTAGGGCAGATAAATTACATTATTGTCGTGGTTTAACCCCAGTCGGCCACTAAGCACCACGCAGCCGCTCACTCACACTCCCCCCCCCCCCCCGGGGGGGGGCGGGGGGCAGGTGGGGAATGGGAGGTTGTGGTCAGTCCACAACAGATTCTGTTATTCATTCAGTGTGTTGAACGTCATAGATGTCAGTAAGACTCCTGTGTGTGAAATGACTGCAGGAGAGAGGACTAGGACACCAGGCAGTTGTTCAGCCGTCTCCAGGAAAGCAGGGCTCCATCACGCGTAGCGGTTACTTGGGAAGACAAACGCCATCACTCCGAATGTCTCCCCCTCCTTCTTCTTCGCCCAACCTTATATGCTGAGCCTGACGTCATATGGTATGGAATAGCCCATCGGCCAGCTGGGCCAGCCGTCCCGGCCACACTCCCTCCCAGCCCCCTGCACACCTGGCAGGGCACGGGAAGATGAAAAGTCCTTGACTAGCGTAAACATTACTTAGCAACAACTAAAACATCAGTGTGTTATCAACACTATTCTCATACTACATCCAAAACACAGACTATACCAGTTAATAGGAAGAAAATCAACTCTATCCCAGCCGAAACCAGGACAATTCCCTTTTATTAATAGAAACTACCTATTACTCAAACTCTCTTCAGTCTCATTGCATCCCTCGTGTATTCCGAAAGGAGTCTAAATTGCATTACATGTCAGAGATGGAATCAGAAGGATGTGTTGAAAGCTGGGAGCTAAAACAAGAGAAAACTAAGTTACCTTCATCTGATTTTTCTGGATTCTCTCCTCTCTTTCTGGCAGCACTGTGGAAGTTGCACTGCCTTGAACACCCCACTCAGTGTGGGTATATGTTGCAGGCAGTGCAGTGTAGTGTAGACTTAACAGAGCTGCCTCGGACACTGGAATTGAAAATTCAAATCCGAGATAGAGTAGAGAATTCAGGAGAAGATAATTTACTCTAAGTCTCATGCATGTTTTGACACTCACACCCCTATTCCGTTCTCCCCCAGTTGCTATGACTCCAAAACCCTGTTGCCAGGAAAAAAATTGCACACAGGTCAGAAAGGGGAACGAAGCATGTTCCTTCTGAACTCTTCAGAACTCTGCATGGTTGCGTGTTTTTCCCCACTACAAACACAGAGTCGCGTCAGCCCTCTACAGAAGGCATTGTTGACATTTTTGAGATAAACCTTCCAGCGTGTGTCTAAGAAGTCATCTTTTCCTGGGAGGGAGAAAAAAAGAGAGAAATTTAAAAGAAAGTGTTTAATGAAAACCTTTCTGAGTTTCCAGTAGGCTTTTTTCTTCAGTCTAGTAGGCATCCCTTTGACAGTGTGATGATGATGCTTGTGCTTTCTAAAGGTAGATAGGCAGATACCAAAGTGAAAGTTAAAAAGTAAATTTAAAATAATGGATTTCACATTTTGTTTACTTATCAAAAGGTTCAGGAGAAGAAAAGCTGAAAAGCACTTTTTGAAAATTGCTAATTATGTTTCTGCTCCCAACCCTACCAGTTCTTAAGGCAACTACATATAGATAACTCTGGTATTACTTTCCCTGCCAGTGTTGGAAGACAGAATGAATCATTTTCAAGCATTGATAAAGCCCTGAGTTACATGCCAAGATTGAGCACTGGAGTCCACGCTCACCTCAAAAGGCACAGGAGCAAATACCACAGCATGTGGTTTAACACCCTCTGTGATGCTTATGAGGGGGCTACGGCTCCATCGAACTCTTCTGAAGGAGAAAACAGCAGTCTTCATGACCGAGGTTAGAGATACTGATGTGCTCTTTAAGAGGGACAGTATGTTAGGAGGTAGAGCGATTCATTTTGGTTTGGCATCATACCCACGAAACAGGGACGTCTTTTCTTTGGAAGAAACGGAATTGCAAAAAGCTTTGCAGAGAGTTTCTCTATCACAGAAGGATAAAAGCTGAGTTGCACTCTGAATCTTTGCTTTTCAGCAGTCTAGGAAATTCAGTCTAGTCTAACACTGTGTCCTCTCTTTTGCGTTAGACGACTGGTTTGGTTCTACTCTTAAAAATGTGGATACTTGTAGTGCTTTACTGGGTCTAGGATATAAAACTTGTGCAACAGAGAATTTTTAATTAGCTCTTTATCAGATAAATTCTGCAACAAATGACAAATCAATATTTCCAACAATACAAATCTATTTTGGATATGTTTGAATCCACTATTCGTTTTTTGTCAGTGTCTATTTTGTTCTCAACATTTCCCAAGATTATTTATCTTAATTTCTTTTTTTCTTTTGTCTCTCTTTAAGTGTATTCTCCAGTTTGCCAAATCTGAAAATGCTGGATGGAATCCCAAAACTGCCAGAGGACTGTTCACCCCCAGATACCAGGTTTTTTTCAAAATGTGTACTATACTTTAGCGCTGTATTTTTGTAGGATCACAACCATGCTAGAACCAACTCATTTAAAAGATACAATAAATCCTGTGTATGCAAGGGACTATTTTTTTCTGATTAAAAAGATATTGAAGCAGAAATACAAATTTTTTAATGCATTTGTGATACCACAGACTTCAAGTAAGTGTGGATAAACGATATGTAAATAAGACATAATGTGTACACTGAGTGTCATGAGTTTGGTGTATTAAAAATATTGGGTGACTTTCTTGTCTAGGAACTCTATGTAGACAACCACTCGCAATTATTGACTCCCACTGCATTTATTTAAAACATGTCCAAGTTCAGACCACATGTTCATTGTAGGAAATGGTACAGGGATTAACATCCAGACTGCAAAGAAAGGAAAAAAAAAACCTGAATAAAAGAACAGGCTATACAGTTTCCTTCTTTATGTCCCACCAATGTCCTAGTGCTCTTTAATGGACTTTGTAGATGGGAAAGGCAGAGCCACCCCAATCATTTTGACCCTTAGAAATAAAAAAATAATGCAAAAAGTCCTTGCTTGGGAGTTTGGTATGGCTAGAGAGCACTGGGGAGGTAAATCATGAAAAAGGAAAGAAGCCTTTTGACTCATTGCTAGCATTGTTTAGGAATGTCTTGTTGCTTAATAGAGGTTCCTCAAACCAAAGCCACAATGAGGGAAAAGAGCTGTGGAAGCTGAAAAGGGATTTGTAAGGGCTCCCCAGGATATCTGAATGCAATTATCTTTGAGAGGTGTTTGCCCTTGTCTTTGATTCATTTGCTGTTCAATTTTAGCTTTTTTTTCCAGGCAGCTCACGCTGGCACACAAATAGCTGTGCCAGTAATGGTTCGGGAAAAGAATGACAGAGTCCTGGAAAATGAAGACAATTAACAGAATTGCCTAATTCCAGAGACAGTCAATAAATTCTCTGCTGTGTATTGGCTGCAGGCGTGGTTTGGTTCAGTTGCACGGGGAGGAGTAATGACTGCTCAGCCCTGTAGAGCTCTGCAGTGCAATGACTTCTCAGCAGAAAGGTCGCAGCAGCTCTGTATAATGTCTGTATTGGATCCGGGCAAGAGAAATGACCAGCTTGAAAAGTTTCCAGGCTCTTCCTTAAGACTGTCCTTACCTCTCCCATAGCCTCGCAGTCAAAACAGTTGATCAAAATATTGCACGAACTAGATGGCAAGATTTTGAATGTATAACAGTATCTAGCTCAAAGTATTTTCTACAGCTGTAGAAGGAAAAAGACAATGGACCACTGCAAAGAGGTGTCAGGTTGAGGGCTCACGCTCAGAAAATATTCTTGCAATTCATAGAAGCAGGCCAGTTCCTTCCCAGTATTTACATGCTCACAGGGTTTGATAACTAGGTCCAGTCAGTGTAGTCCACCCCAGCAACAGGAACAGACCATGCTATGACAAACACCTCCATAAACATACTATAGAATCAAGAGGATACAATTCAACGATACACGCAACAAGCTTTTACAGATTCAGGGAGAGATGATGTGGTTTACACAGGAACAACAAGGCAACCAGAGCTTTGAAACAGGAAAAGCAGAACATTGTGTGCTGTACAGCATGGCAAACTGTTCCAGAGGAACGGGAATCTTTCACGTGGGGAGGATAAGAACAGAAAAACCGAAAGCTTTCTGAGGAGTGAGGCTAGTAGTCTACCTCAGGTCTAGAAATTAATCCAGATATAGAATAATACAGTAATTAACATAAAACCCCACTGTTGTGTTTGGGAGCGGAAAGGGTAAAAACAAAGGATGAAACATATTCTTCTCAACTGAGGATGTATGTGAGAAAACGCCATCTCCTCAGCGGCAAGGCAGGGAGCTAAAGCAGAGAGGAAACACAGCCTGAAGGACCACCCTCACCCACCCAGCCGGAGACAGGCAGCAGGGAGCCCCTGAATACTGACTGCTGCGAGGCGGTGCAACGGGAGACGGGAAAGGGAGAGAGGCTTTTCCCAAGGTATCGGGCACTAAGGAGCATTCAAATCAGCGATGTTCAAATCACAACAAAAAGCACTTGAGGACTAGGGTCTCTTCCCAGAATTCGGCATTAGAAAGTGAGACTGAGAGGGGAAATTGCTCCAGTCCCGTGGGTAGACATTTTGGTTACAAGCTCCCAGTGAAGCTACCACCCACTTCTCGCACATGTAATTAGGAGCTGGTCGAGTCTCTCCTGGGAACGCGCTCAGAGGCTTTGCTCTTTAGACCTGAGTCCTGGGCCAGTCACAAGAAAGAGGCACAGACAGTGATTTATTCTTTCCAGACAGGAAGTTGGTTCTACCCTCATAATTTTTCCTTTCATTATATTAATGCTCTGGCTTTGGAACGCCAGAGAAATACGAGGTAATATCTGGGGAGCCTTGCTGATTTTATTTAAAGTGCATCCAGGAGCAAGAATGTACTGGTAATGTTTGAGTCACTTTGCTGCAATGAGCTTTAAATGAGATGTTCATTATCAGCAATGTCACATGGGAAACTGGGAAAAAAGAGCAATTAGGTTCCAGCTGGTTGACTGGACAACAGCCATGAGACCGAGGAAGCACACTGGATACATTTCAACATTACTGGTGGACTAGAAACCCCAACAGCAGGAACCTTTTGAAACTGGCCTCAAGTTCATGCCAAACCGGGGATAAATTAATATACATTTTGGGTTCTAAATTAGATTATTACTATCTAATTTTCTTTTCCTGCCAAACTTACACTCAGCTTCACTCAAGAAAAAAATGGGCCTGCAGCAAGTTGCTCTTGAGTTTTACTCCCTTGTTTTTTCACAGTTATGTTATGGAGTGGTCTAATCTAAATCTAATCTATGACTTCAAGAAAATCTGGAAGGAATGGAACAAAAGCAGAGCCTTTATTTTGCTAGAGCTTTTGAGATTTCATCTATTGTGATTGCAGTCTGAAATCTAAAATAACAGTTACCACCTGTGAGCTCAGTATCAAAGTATCATGAAATCAATTTCCAATTGTTCACAAAGATTCCTTCAAACCTGACATTTCATGAAAATTTAGTGATGTGTTCCCAAAGTCTTGCCTAACATCATGGGACAGGTCCAGGGCTGACAGAGCTCAGGACGGAGTTCTCAAGTCTCATTTTAACTGTCTCTTCATTTCTCATTATGTCTAAATCTCTCAATACGAAATAAAAAGTGACCAATATCAAATCAGAAGACAGATTCCTTAAATGAAGAGGGAGAAAACAAGACTTCTCATTTAATCCCTTTATTATGATCCCAGGAATTCCAGGGCAAGGTTTAAAAAAATTTTTAAGTGTTACTGTACACGGGTCATGGAAGCAAAGTTGTAACAGAAAATAAATCATCAACTACTGATGAGTATTTCAAAGAAGACCGTTTGCTCATATACACATTAACCTTGTAGAACATGAAGCACAATTGGTCCAAATTATTTAAATCACTCAGAAAATAAAGACTTTGAGCCAATATCCTTCTCCAGGACTGTGCATTGCAGCACCAGTATTAGATGTGAATAGAGGGAAGAGGAAAGCAGTGCTGTTTCTTGCAAAAGGAGACCTTGCAAAAATGTCTTCTTTCAGTTCCTTACACTGAGCTTCAGAGGCTGAGAGGGTGCGTCAGAGGCAAATCAGAACTGGTCAGTCAAGCCTGTAATTCGTCATCACGAATGTTAATGCAAATGGATCAAGCCCAAATTTGTACACCTCTATGGAGTAAATAACTTGTCAATGATTCCCTAGAGTTTTGCCTGCTAGTGCTGGAGCACAGAACGGTTATAAGGACATCACAGGTGACTTCCTGAGGTCCTTGTCAACCCTCAGGTCACTGTATCTGTAAGAAATTTGCCTGGCACGCACTTTGAAATATGCTGTGGGAAAGGAGTGGGTGACGTGGTAGGTCGTGGTGCTGGCTGCATCCTCATAAACCACGAACCAGCTGGCAGAGGGGGCTGCGCTCTGGCGGTTTGCTGGCGTCTCGCTGCACGGCAGGCTCTGCTTTGGCTGCTGCTGAGGACAATCTAGCTCTTCCTCCATGGACCAACTTGCGTGTTCCTGTGGCCAGGAAGGGGCTTAGTTTTCTTTTGTCTGCCCTGGCTTCTGTTCATGGTATTTGTGTATTAGTGATGCCAGGACAGCGGTGCTTTTCAGTGCTTATTCCCTCTCCGAACACAAGTGACTATTAAAGTCCTTCCCGCATTAAATTCAACAGCAAAACTTCCAGTGACTTCAAAACTGCAGAAGCACAGTTTTATTCTTCTGTGTGGAAGGAAGGAAACTACTCACAAATCAGAGATCAGGTTACCAAAAAGGGCACTATAAGGCTGTTAACCTTTGAGAAGCAGAACACTCTGCCCTTTCCCTGGAGAACCTCTTTGTGAAGATCAGAGTATATTCGTTTCTTTTACCGTTTCCTTCCTGACTGATTAAAATCAAATACCTTCTGGTCTATGAGGCAGCTTTCGATCACTGCCACTGAAGTTTTGCTGTTCAATAAAGAACCTTCAGCATTTTTGATGATTTCCTTGCTATCAGCACTAAAAGAAAAAATGAATTTAGTGAATAATACTGACTGATGTTTTGATCTATTTGGATACAAGTATGAGACATGCAGAGGCACATTGTCAGGAAGCACGGGTGGAAATAAGCTATTAAGATGTCCCAGAGCATTCATTTTTCATTTGTAATCTATCATCCAAGATACATTTGCTTTGGAATTGCCAGGTACCATGCTACATTATGTAATTGAAAGCACAGAAGATAAGGAAAGAAGGCCATTGACAACATATGCTTCAGATAAAAGCAGCTATAAAAATAAACATAATGACCATAACAGGGACGAGACAAGCATGGACAGTAACAAATTGGGAATGACCAGAAAGTTCATGAATAGTCAAGCTACAGGAAATGGTGCAGTCGGCCTTGGGGAGTGAAATCCAAGCCAATTTTTTTTTCTTTTTCATACTGATCATTTTATTTTTACTATGTGTTAACATAATATATTTCCCATCCCTACTCTACGTATAGTCTATTTTCTTTCTAATAGATTGCTATAATTACTCTTTACAA